TAAATTTGGAGATGCAAGTTATAAATGTTCCTTATTATGAGACAAGTTCCCTTAAAATGAGCTATGTTAGGCTCCATAAATACCACAAAATTCACAGAATTCTAAAAATCTTACTGTATTCTTTTGCTAAAAGATTTGTGAAAATAGGATTATATTTACTCCTGGAAAAAAATTAAAATTACTTTCTTCACTCAGTCTTCATTCTAGACTGTGCTTAGTCATTCAAAATCAAGACTGTAGACTTAAATTAAAATACCTTTTTCTTCATTCCATAAAGCTAAGAAGAACAATTTTTAAATAACTCAAGACTTGCCATAAAGTATCAAAAATTATTCCTTACAGCAGTATCTTGTCCATAGACTAAGCAATCCATAAATATTTGCTGATTTAGTTTGATATCAAAGTTCCATTCTGACAGTTCTTTGAATGAAAAACCCATAACAGTGATAAATTCTGGTGAATTATATTTAGACATTGACTTTTAAAAATATAATTAGAAGTATCTAAATGAATAGACCAGCATATTTGTTTAGCAACCAAGAATATAAATGCAATTGGCTCTCTGTAGCAAGTCCTCCTGCATCTGCAGATTGAAACAACTGCAGATCAAAAATATTGGGGGGGGGGACAATGAAAAATAACAATACAACAATTAAAAAATACAAATTAGAAACACAGTATAACAAGTATTACATAGTATTTACATTGTATTATGTATTATAAGTAATCTAGAGATTATTTATAATCAGAAGCAGAATGTGTGTAGGTTATACACAAATATATATGGGGCTTGAGCATCTGTGGATTTTGCTATCCATAGGGGTAGGAGGAGTCCTGAAACCAATCCCCTACTAGTACCGAGGATGACTCCACAATGCAGTGAGTTGGCATGCGTGGTTACAGAGAGTTTAGTGTTAAAGGGACATATTTTTAGGATGGTGAGACTGAAAAGCCTTTGTCTACTTGACAATATGGCAAGGAGACCAGAGCATTATGGTGGGACTTATATAAAGGATAATAATACTGCACAATTTCCAGGCTTCAGAGAGCTTATGCTCTAGTCCTTCACTGCTGAGCTCTAAGAACAGGAAATAATCACAAGTCAGCGTTGGATCCTAGGAGAAAGAAAGGTCGACTTTTGGTAAAGTGGTTCAATTGCTCCCTGAAGCCCAAGCTAAATTTTAATCGCCCACACGTAACAAGAAATCCACGGATACCCACTCTGGTAAGCCCCCGAGTCCTCTCAGAGCAGCCTGGTGGGCAAAATGTGGATGCCAAATTGGGGGATTCATGCAGTCATCTATGTTGGAATCGTAATTTGATTATACTTGGAGCCACCATAGCCTCATCTGTTTTATTTTGAACAGAGTTTCATGGGAAATGATCTATATGGCTCCTAAGATCATCTGTTTCCAATGAGATATATATGTAGATATGTATAATTATATATGTTTACATATGTGTGTATAGATATATATATTTCAGCTCTAAAATAGATGCTTAAATGTAAATGTCTTCAAGCAGGCAAGACCTCCTGAACAGAAGCTGGCAGAAGAGTTTGCTTAGACAACAGCCGTGCAGTGACTCATCTGTGTTTTCACAACATGTTTCTACCCAGCACCCATGTCTATTTGTAGCCTGACAATAAAGGCCCTATGTGAGCCATCTCTGAGCTGCCTGCCTTTAAAAGCAAGGACACTGTTCTCAGTTGACTCATTTAAGCTGTCTGTGCTTTTGAGAATAACCCACTGCCACATTTATGAAGGCATGTGATACAACTCCAGATTATTTCAGGCTCTGGCAATGCTTTTCCGCTTAGCCTTGGTCTAGTGTTTAGAAAACCAAGTGAAGCCAGACGACTTCGCCCCCTAAATGAGCCCACTGCATACCGCTACTATTATCTCTTGAGGCCGCTGGAAAAGACTGTTTTCACCACCATCCACTGTAACTGGGATTCAAAATTAGAATTCTAATCTATTTTGCTCACCTATATTTATCCCCAGTGCTTAAAACAATGCTGAACACACAGCAGACACTCCACAAACACTTGCAAAGGAATGAACTCTCCCCCCGCCCCCCACATAGACCTGTGAAATGACCTGGGCCTTTGCACCAAATCCATGAAGTATTTTCTTGTCCTGATACCAAGTCAAGAAGACTTCTCCTGCCAGAAAATCAAAATTTTTGGATGGCAAAGTACATAGTCCTTCAGGCATGAGATACTCTCCTACATATTAAACCACCCTACTGCCTAGTCCTTAAATTAAGATAAAACTATTTGTTGAATTTCAGTTCAACAAACATATACTAACAGTCATTAATTTTCCATCTCTCGTTTTCATTGCTTCTGCCAACCACTGTGACTTCAAGAAATACCAAATTGTAGTTTAGGAAGAAGGCTTCGCCAATATACTTTTTTTTTTAAAGGAAAAAGGCTTCAGAAGGAGAGAAAAACAGGGGATGGAGTGTTTTCATTCACAGAAGCCTTTAACACAATGCATTCACAATTTCAGTGAGATTATCAATGGAGGCCATGAAGTCTCTTCATACAACAATCAGATTATATCTGGAAAATATCCTCATAAGTTTGAAAGTCAATTTCTAAGTGTAACAAGCAGCAAATGGTCATTTTAGTTGACTCCTTAACACCCTGAAACATCAAAAGCATTTAAGTCTTTAAAACCCAGAAAATAGAAAATTCCAGCAAGGCCTTTCCCAATTCATATAAGACAGAGGAGAAAAATAGCTGTTAACTACATAGGTTATGTATGTTACACAATAGAGTCCTCTACTTTCCCCAGAACTCGCTCATATAGAAGCTAATCCCTTAGGAGGGACCAAAACGGACGTGAACAGACTTCTTGCCTAGTGTCAGATGCAGCATTCTAAAGCTACGTCTTATGAGGCTACAAAGGGCGATGATTCAATTCAAAAAGGCAATAAACTAACACGCAGGAAGTGTGTTTATATCCCAATCTCAGTGAGAAGAATGTTCATCGAAAAAAGTTTAAAACTTATCTGCACAAGAAAGTCTCTATATATTCTGACGCACAAAAGACAGTTTTGTTCTTGCCACCCTTTCAAAATCACAGCTCGCTTTAATTTTCTTAACATGGGGCTGCCTGTATTACCCTCCTCTAGCTGGCCGCAGGGGCTGCTTGTTTTCTCGAATGGTCTGCTTTAGTTATCACTATGCTGTCATTTAGATGAAGAATAGCTGCCCAACTTGGATACAGGTCAGATTGTATAAAAATTCTGTTACTGACATCACTGTTACAATATAATTTATTCATTCTTGTCTCTTGAACTGAGGAAGTAAGGGGAAAACATTCTCTTTGTATATACATCCCTGTGTCCTCCCAGGTTTGGTTTCTACAGCCTGTGCTGCAGGTCTCTCACTGCTAACAGAGAGACATGTGTTCTTTGGCCAGCACAATATTATTTTTAAAAAGATTAATCAATTGCCAATATTTCTAAATCACCAGATTTCACTAATAATTTGAATTTTCAGCCTCTCTTCAAAAATCAGAAAATGAATACTGGGTACACATTCACATGGGAACAAATTATGCTGAGTTACAGCTGCCTCTTTCTGATGGTGCAGGGGCTCTTAGAAGTCATTACAGTCCCATGCTAGGACGAAGCCAGAGCTAGCCATGGGGAAAAGCCACGTGGAGAATCCCAGATTCCAGCTACTCCAGACACCCCGGCTTAGCCACCAACATTGAGTAAAGAAGCTGATGTATAATAACTTCAACCTCTGAGGCTGTCTGATGGCAAGTGCATGAGGGACCAAAAAGAAAACCGCTCAGCTGAACCCAGCAGACACCAAAACCATGAAAGAGAGAAATAAAACTTGCTCATTTCTAAGTTTTGGGGTAACATGCTATGCAGCAATAGATAAGGGTTAAAAAAGAAAAGTGCACTTAATAAAGTAAAACACAATTGTATAAGTGATTTCTGATGTTTTACTTGGGTCAACATATATGTTATAGTCTCCATCTTATTTTTGTATTTAGGCAAAAATCTAGAACATGAATATACCCAGGAAAGAAAATATCAATGGAAGAAAAGCAATCCTTTGGAATCAGCTGCATTAAAAAAAAAAAAGTTGGCTGATAGCATTTATGAATGTCACATAAGTTAAACAATAATAAGTAGTAAAGTAGGAGGACAGAATTTGAAAAGGGCTTGAATCCGGTTCTTTGCATAGGAATATCAGCTGTATTCACTACTCCATATTCAGCACCTCACATAATACCTATTTATTTTAATGACTGGATCAACTAAAAGTAGTTTTGTACATATTTTTCTGATTGGTTGAGGGAATCTAAAACATCTCTTATATCACTAAAACTTTAACTGTTATTGTTGCCATAGGAAAGCAAATGCCATCTGCAAAGGAACCAACAAACTGCAGTTACAATTAATTGCACAAAATAAGTCAAGCCAGAGTCCTAACAGCCTAATGAGAATCAGGTCCAGGTGTGGAAGAAACAACTCTTGGCATGTATTGATTGAAGCCAAATTCTAACGGTAGGCATGCAAATCCAATCTTGAGCAAACCACTCAATTGTTTGATGACTCTATATGCTCACATGTAAAATTAAGCTAATCACACATTCCCTAAAAAAGTGTCATCATCCAGTTGAACAGAACATGGTCTGTATCTTCGAGGTAGTGGAAGAGCTAAACCTTTTGCACTGCACAAAAATTAAAGCAGCTGATATGCTTTTGCCCAAATAGAATTGTATATCCTCATTTCCTTCCCTTCTTTTCCCCACTTGTGACTCAAGCCAGATTTCATCGAGCTATTTTTGTCATTACTCAAATGCTGGAAATACAGCAGCAGGCCAGAAGCAAAGTAAAATGCAGCAACCAGCAAAAGAAAGAAAATCACGCTGAGTAACTGAAAGGCCATCTGCTCCGAGCCGCGCCGCAGGGGTGAGGAAGGCAATCTGGGCTGTACTATTTGTGTCCATCCCCAAAGCCGTACCCACCTGCATGTTTTCAGTGGCATCCCCAAGCAGTCCTCCAAAAGTGATGGCATTCGTTACGGTTGCCAGATAAATGAAGAGAATCGCCGAAAGAGCCTGAATATTTAGAGCATCGTAAAAATCGCTGGCGAAAAATGGTGCTTTCCTCTTTATGTCCTTGATTAGCCCACCGCAGAACCTGGACGGGGGGAAGGCAAACATGACCATGTAGGAAAGAATTTATATTTAAAATGATTGAATCAATGACAAAATACTACTTAGCTTCTTAAAATAAAATCAGAAAACTGAGATGGAATACATTTTCTTTTCTCTCTCTCTTTTGGTCACCAAATTAGGTGCCACATTCCCTAAAGACCAGCCAGTTGGTCCTTAGATGACAATGAACTGTGCAGATAAATTAAAATCTGTCATCTACTAAAGAAAAACATCCAAATATCCAAGCAGATCTCATAAGACCTTTTATAATCTTGCTAGAGCATTCTTTCCACATTCATTCATTCATTCATTCACTCACTCACTCACTCCTTCATTCATTCTTTCATCCCACAGATGCTCATGCCCACACTCGGGCGCTATTCTGAGTGCTGAGGATGCAACAGTGAAAAACTCAGGCCAAAGTGCCCCATCTTGATGGAGTTTACTTTGGGGGCAGAAGTGACGGGTGGACAATGAACAAGATAAATAAGCAAAATGTATAAAATTAAATGGGGAAGAGAGTTACGCAATACTGGAGAAAAGGTGGTGGGAAAACTTCTGACAGGGTGGCTAGAACAAGCCTCTGAGAAGGCGACTTTGGGGTAAAGACCTGCAGGAACCAAGGGAAGGAGGCGTGCAGGTGTGTGAGGAAGAAGGTACAAGCTGAGCCCAGGCCATGCATTAGCAGGTCGGCTGAGGGACTAACACATCAGTCTGCTCACCCTCCCAACCAGACCTCAACTCCTCAGCCTTCCACAGGGTGTGGCTTCTGCCTAGAATGTCCTCTTCCAAAGCTCAACAGTTCTAGAAGTCTTGACCCTGCTCTCAGAGTTCATACTTCCTCTCTGAGCTATCACACTGTATCAGGATTGTCTGTCTGTCTGTCTGTCTGTCTGGGCATCCACCAGGCAGTGCCCTGCTTCGGTTTGCTTAGTATATTCAGGGCTGTGCACAGTGCCAGGCCTAATGCAGACACTCAGTGCACTTAGCAAAGGCGAAATATGGAAGAATAAAATACAGTATGATTAAATGAAAAAATTAAATCCCAGAACTCTGCAGAAAAGGAAAAGGATATTCCTAATGGAAATAATTTATAAGGAATCATTCACAAAGGGGAGAGGGAGGAGAGAATGTTTTGTGTTCTCTATTATTTACGAATAAAAGGGAAATAATTTCCTGCCAATTTGGGAGAGAAACCCAAGCGGGTCTTCAGGAGAAGGAAATAACTTCATTTCATTCAGATTCAATCGCAGATTAAAGTGACATACCTTTTTGTTTTCAAAAACCCTGTTTCTGAAAAGCCATATCTTCACAAAATGAGTGTCCCACTTAAAATTTTACTTAACCCAAAATAAAACAAAAAGGCTAATAGCGGAGAGGGAAGAATTATCGTGAAATTATCTGAAGCATCTGGGAAACCTGAATTCCCACCTGCTGAACAGGGACCCGTGGGTGCTCCTTTCTGAAACACGTCACTCCCTCTTAGGTAAACGTGGAAGTAAGAAAGCCCAGAGGGGAAGGCTGGCGCGTCCGTCAGTCCTCCTGCCATCTCTCTGGGCCTCACTCTGGCGTCCCCTCTGTCATCCCACTGCAGTCACGCTGCCAGGTCCTGTCCCCTCCCAGCCCAGCGCCGCCAGCACTCGCCTCGAATCCCTCCATCCTCTGGAAGCCCCCTCTGATCACACTACCTAGAATCACAATACCATTCTCCCAACCCCAAAGTCCCTGTTTCTGCCTTAATTTTCCTCATCAAACCATCCCCACATTTGCTTTATTTGCTTATCATCCGTCTCCCACGGTTCCCGCGAGGGCAGTGGGCTATGTTTAATTCACTGCTATGTCCCCAGCGCCTGTGACAAACAGGGACAAACGGGCAAACCGATGAACAAACTGCTGGTGAAAGGTGAGGGGAAGTTCCGGTCGAAGGACAGCCTCGCCACCAGCACAAAAGGATCTGTCCGTTACCGTCCGGTTCGCTGCAGCTCCTCGCAGTCCCCGTGGCCGCCTCCGCCGTGCCCCCCGTCGTGGGGCGTGTCCCCGTTCATCTGCACGTTCTCGCCACCCGAGTACATGTTCTTCCTAAGACGACAGCAGAGCCCGAGGGCTATTAGTTTATCTGCGCAATTGGCTCCTTAGCCATATCGTGCCCTGGCTGATGGAAAGACGGAGTGAGAGAGTAAGATCATTATTTCTTCCTGCCATCCTAAGAGACAATTCCGGACGTGTTGTACAAGAGAACCAAGATAAATGATGACTAGGAAAGTTCAATGAACTGTGTATCTTGTGAGACAGAAACTCCTTCACCTGGGAAATAAGAGGCTTCCAGATGATGGTTTCCCCTCAACTATCTCACCCCATTTCTTAACCTCATAAATCTAGAAGGACTCAACTTCAGCAAACTGATCTCTCCACATATACAGGGAGTCCCCAAAACATCCCCAAGAATGTCTGTGATTATTTTCCCATATCATAATCCAAGATCTCTCATTTATAATATAATAACTGATGAACATCACAATATATGACATCTATTTCACAGTGTCAAGGAAATGTGAAATCAAGGCACATAAGTAATTCATTTGAGAAAATACATCAAGTTAAATAAGAACCTGAAACTATTAGAGCAACAGCCCAACTTGACCTTCTCTAACACAACCTCCTTTTCGGGGATACCCCCAGCAACCGAAAAGTCTCAACTGTCCAATAATTTACCTTTTGTCAGACGATGGAAGACTCTTAGGGGGCTCTATCCGGATGGCTGGATCCCACTCCCCAGGTGGAAGGACAATGACTTCGTCTAGGAACTCATCAATGCCCGCAATGAGGTCGTGCCTGTCTTTTGCTTTATAAGCGATGTCATGGAACACCTAGAAAATAGTGGAGGCGTGCTGATCCACAAGAGAACTTTCCAAAGCCTCATACCATGACAAGACCGAAGAATGTAATCCAAGGTCCATGGTGATATTACCATAGCCGTGCTTCTCTATCCCTATTATTTGGCCTGCCCAAAATATGTCGGGATTCAGATTATCATCTCAAAGAATAGAGTCAGAGGCATGAGGCGGCAGCTATGTTTTTGATGTGTTCTTTCCTAGAAATACCGTACAGCGACATTGCCTTCCGGCTCCCGCTGGTGTGGGCCGCTCCTGACCTGGCTGCTCTAGAAGCCAGATGATAATGGTTTGCAGAGTTATACTGAAGAGTTATTCCCCAAGATAAAAATTCCTGGGACAATAAGTTGCTGATAATTCACAAAGGAAAAGTTCAAGCTGAGTGTTAAGGCCAGGTTAAGACCAAAACACTGCAGTTTTCAAACACACAAATAATGTGGGATATTAAAAAAAGAAAAATCTGAGCTGTATTGGCAGCACATAAAGCAAAGGGACTTAAATAGGTGATCATCTATCTTTCAGCAAGGCAATAACTAAACCATGCAAGGCATCAAATGCTTCATATCTTTTATACAGATCTCCAAAGAAGGAAGTTCCAAAATGTACACAATCCTTTTCATCAGCTGTTCCTTTCTTCTTCTGAGCTGATGATCTATAAGTTCTTTACACATAACCTAAAGTTTTCATACTTCCTAAGTCGAATTCTTCAGTCTTCAGAAGGGAAGATGGCCCCTGTTCAACACCCTTACCTATTCTCAAAGATTACTACTAAATCTCTTCTCCTAGAAGGAATCATTGAAAGCTATCGATTAAGTAATATTTAGCAGTCTAAGGATGGTGGGGCTGCGGGGAGGGTGACACTAAATGCCAGCACATCATCTGTGGCAGACACCGCCATCCTCAACCGTATTTTCTCTTGCCATCTCCTACTACAGATGCTGAAAAGTCAGCGATTTCCCAGCCAACTCTGCAGATAAAGATGAACAGTTCCAACCCATGACATAAGAAAAAGCTATGTAAGAAAGCTTTAGAATATCTGCTAAAAGAGACAGATACAGCTAGCATTACCCCATCCTTCTTCCTACCTTGAATGCAGAGGACATGACTATAGGTGACTGTAGGCAAAGCTGTTTTACCATATTGATAGGAAAAAAAGCATGCCATCTTAAGACCACAAAGCAAGAGCCTTAGCTCTTGATCTATTATTAAGCGCTTAAGTTAAACCACCCCCAACAACTATCAACCTTCAAACTTCCTGTTACATGAGAAAAACAAATCCCACATGGTTTAATTCACTACAAGTCTATTACTTGCAGCCTAACGCATTCCTAGTTGATATATCTTAGGAGGAAGGATTTTAAAGAGAAAGAAAGAAATTAGAAAAATACAAAAACAAATAAATTAAACCACTGAGATGTGGGAAAGAAATGTTCCCTTGAGGCAAAAAAACCAGCATAGTCATGCTTCAACACTCCCAGCCCCAGAATAAAGTAACCACTTGAAAATCACACAGAACTTCTGTAACTCAGGAGAAAAGTATCCTATTCTCCAGTTAGCACATGGAAACACTGAAAAATCAATGAATGAAGCAAAAGCAAAACACTTGGGGAAATAATAAATTATAATAGAAAGACACAAAAGCAGAAATTAATGATTCTATATTTTAACAGTATTTCTTCTCCTATGGGACTAGGCTAGAGTTTTATCATGTCTAAAATGCCTACAACAACATTCTAGCTGTCATGAGAATGAGGTCATGAGAATAATTCCAAAGTCCCTATACTAGGTACTCTGCTGGAATGGTTGCTAATGCATTTTAGATGTGTATCATTCCTTCTCACAAAATAAGTGAACATAAAAACATAAACCTAAGAAAAATGCACTATCCAATGTACTGTGCATTATTTTATAGAATGTAGCATTTCTGAAATAATGTAGTATATGTACATTTGAATGCCCAGAGTTGATATATCAAACATTGTAGAGACAAAGTTAATACAATGACCTTGAACTTTTTAAAGAGTATTTAACATACATGAGTTTTAAGAACTGAAAATGTTTAGAAAAAGAAAGGAAAACATGTTTAATTCCAGCATGGGGTTTAGAATCCAAAACAAAATGTATGCCTGACTTTTTGAAAACTGTAGAGGAGTCAGCTCATTTGCCACAAATGACTGTCCCTCATGTTATAAGGACGGCTAGTGACCACATAATTCTGACTGAATAAATCGTGATGGTCAATTCACAGTACGAAAACCACCCAAGTAGGAATTCGCAGAACCCCGTCTTCCTGAGTCCTACCTCGTCGGACATCAAGGTGGCGATGGCTCTGCCAATCTCGTGGTAGGACTTGGCCTTCCCCTTAGGCCCTAAGAGAATGAACAAGAACCTAATGGAAAAGGAAGAAAGCAGAGTCTATAACACACACGTCATCAAAGTCAACGCACATAAAACTGAGAAACATTTATCTTAGTTCATAAAAAGGTTAGGTATCAAATTAATCCTGAAAATAAAGGTAATATTCTTGATAATATGCAGGATACTCTTTCACGCTATTGTGAAACACAAATCGTTGTTCAGTTTATTTGGAGGCAAAGGAGAATTTAGCACTGAAACCTGAGAAGCTTCTTCCCTGAACAGGAAGGGTTCATTTTACACACTTTCTGAGTTATTCAATCTTTTTTTTTTAAACTTTTCTCTCTCCATTTCTACTGACTTTCAGAATCGTTGGAGCAAATCCATTAAGCACAATAACTAGAAAGACTTAGCACACCTTCACGTTTCTCCAGCTTTCCCTCACTCGATATGGGCAGTGACAAGTGATCCTCTCCATACTTTTAAGAAATGTTTTCACCCAGAAGTGACTGGGAGTCAGCAAAAACCAAGTGCTCTACCCGTAAGCCACATGCTGACAGCCAGAGGAAGGAAAGTGACATATAAGAGAGATTCAAAATAAAGCATCATTCACGGGCAGTGAAAATTCTTCTGTGGGTGTCCTCATTTTTGTTTCCAAATATTTTTTGTCCATAATGCACAAAGTATTGCTCCATATAAAACAGATTCTGAAACATGCAATAATGAACCTACCCCACTTAGTTCCACCTCTTATCAAGCTGGAAGGAATCTTCCACTGATCACAAGGGCAAAGATGCACATCTCCACTGGGGGGGAGGGAACTTGGTAAGTGAGTATGGAAAAACATACAGACGGTTGCACTAATTGCAGTTCCACCAGCAGTGTAAGAGTGTTCCTGTCTCTCCACATCCTCGACAGCATTTGTTGTTTTGGGATTTTTTGATAGTGGCCAATCTCACTGGCGCTAGGTGATATCTCATTGTGGTCTTGATTTGCATTTCTCTAATGATTAGAGATGTTTTAAATTTGGTATATGTTTACAATGGAATATTACTCAATTTCAAGAAACGACAGTGAACTAGCACCCCTTATATCATCCTGGATTGAGCTTGAGCCCATTATCCAAAGTGAGGTGACACAAGATCAGAATAATGGGCTCCACATGTACTCGCCATCAAATTGGTACTGACTGATTAACACTATAATGCTCAAAGGGTGGTGGTGTTCACCAGGGATTTGGGGATTGGTGGGGTAGACCCACATCTGAGGGATGTGGCGAGCACTGTGGAGGGGAAGGGCATGCCTCTAACCCTTGCTAGGGAGAGGCAAAGATATAAAATGCAACCAAATGTTTGTACTCCCATATTTTCTTGAGAAAAAAAACCTACAGAAGGTGACTCTAGATAAATCCCTGCCTTGATATTGGTCCCGTCTTACCTAAAGGGGAGATAATGAGGACAATAAAAATATCATATGCTTGCACAGCTTTTCAAAGCCTGCAAACCATTTCACATTCATCACCTTATTTAAATTTCCATTCAACCCTTTGCAATAAGGACAGGTGTCCTATTCCCACTTAATGGTGAGGAAACCAAGGCTAAAGAAGGTTAATGGACAAGACCAAGGTCTGTGCCTAGCAAATGACAGACAGCAAACAGGCCTTCTGACCTCCTATTATTTTCACCACACACTTCTGCCTGATAGTACCCACCCAGTCCATATACCATGGTTGTGATTCAGCAGAGAAAGGCTCTCCAACAATGACTTCCACAGGCCACTGTGGGAAAAGAGTCTGTGGATATCTAGCCAGGGACAAGAAATCTTAGGCAAGATTTTATGGCACCAGAAATGGTTTAGCACTTTGCTTAGCAGAATTTTATTTTTCATTTATTTATTTCTATTCCTCACATTAAATTAAAAAAAAAAAGATTGACAGAATGTACTCTACAAAATGTTAGGGTCTGTTCCAAAATGCTCTTGAATGTATAATTAGTTTTATTCACATAAAATTCAACCCAAAAGGGATAGGAAAAAAAAAACACAGAAATTAGAATGTAAAAAGGTATCTGCAAGTGTACTCAGATTTTATACCAGATTAACCATAAAACCATTTAGCACTTAATTGCTTAGAAACCAGTTCTAGAGTGGAGCGGCACACTCACTTTCAAGTGTTATCATAGCAGATGAAACAGCAAAAGCAATCAGCAGGCACAAAAGTCTGTTCAAGTATGAAGGAAGTCATTATTAGAATCGGGTTTTAGTTCTTCTCACACTGAAGGTTCAATTGATACTATTTTAGAACCTTCCTTCCTTTGAGGCCAGCCCCAAGTTATATACCTACAGTATCATAAAATGCTTCTTTATGAAAGTAAAATGGATTTTTCTAAAACCAATCACTGAGTTGAGTGCAACCAATGCCAAAAAAACTTAATCACTAAAGCAAAATATAACAGTAGCACTGGTCACATTTCCCAATTTCACTTGCCTGTCCACAAATGGCCAGCTGTCAAATGGGACAATAAGGTTGTAGTTTTAGGCAAAAAGAGGAAGAGGCTGTTTAATGAAGGAAAATACCAACACCTGGGTCCTTTATTTAGCACATTATTAAATAATGGCTTTCTTTGGTTTCTAATTTTGTATTATTTCAATGTATCTAAATATTAAGCTTTCAGTAATATCTTATATCCGAAACTTTTCCAGAACCTCTCTGTATCTCTTCCTACCTCTTCCTAGCAACCTCCATCACGATTACAGCTTACAAATACACATTATGGAAATATATTTATCAACTGACACATGAGTTAATTATCAGGTTGACTATATGGGAACAAAGTCAAACAATGTCTTGTTGGTGAGAAAAACACTGTCAGTCATTCACAGCCCTCAAGCATAAACTTTGGCAGACGATGGGTATTTCAAAAGCTGATAGAGTAATGGAGCTCCCAAGTTAAATCCCATGAGATAAGGGCATACATTTTCAATAAAATATTTACTCTCTGGTCTCTGCTAAATAGCACCAACCAAAAATGAATGGAAGCAGCAGATCAAAAATGTCTGTAACATATTATAGCAATAAGCCCACTATACAAGAATTATATTGGTCCAATAACCTAGATATAAAGGTAGTAATCCTCTTTCCTGGGTAATATAATTTTAACTTTTAAAAAAAGATGTTTATTAGTGGAATTATCACCAAATGCCAAAGAGAAACAACATGGTGACATATCAGATAGTTAAAATTTTCACATTACTCCAATCAGAAACAATTCAGTAAATCTAACTCCTCACAGTTACCTCAAGTCAAGACTTTCCTTTGTAAGAGCAGAGACCCTTAAGAAGCTTCTAATCTGGATTGCATTACTGAAACGAGATGAGAGATCTGGGAAAACTGAACACACAGAACAACCCAGCAAGTTGCAGTTCGCTCTGCCTAAAGCCTCTTCTCTCCTCTTTAACCCTCCAAGAAGCGAAAGCTGCTACAACTTTTATGATTGAAATACATCCCGCCAAACTCAGCGTTTATAACGTACTGAAAACTCCTTTCATGACCCAAGATGTTTTTTGTTAATAAACAGATGCTATTTTTAACCAGAAGCTTTTTCCTTTATTAACAAATTAGGGTAAACATCACATTTGTGTGGCTGAAAGGGCACAGCCCACATTGACAGCTCGGAAAAATTATTAATTTATACTGCTGAGTTCTGTTTATTCACTCGTCAACAGAAATAAGTCAGGGATAGAATTTTTTAACAGTGCCTGGTTATCTCAACAACCATCACATGAGGCCCTTTTCTACTTTTGTGAGGTTTTTCATATAGTTAATTACGCCTGGGGAGGATGCATCTAGCATTCTTGCAACAAAAAGAAATACTTGCCAGATGATCCACGTCTGGAACCAATGGCCTGTGCTCATGTTCACAAAATAATTATAGGCAGAGAAAGACCATAATATCAGAAAGGAAGTCAGCCTTCCTAAATCACTCAATGTTTTCAGAGAGGATGAGCACCTCCTCTCCTTGATACATCACAGCTATTTCTAGAATAAACTCAGCATGTACCAATCCTTTACTCCCTTCTCTCAAAACAACAGTGAATCAAATAACCCATTATCCAGCTTCAGCAGCTTCGGAAAATGTGCCTAAACTGTAGCTTCCACAGCAGATTCATGAGAACCACAACCCCATCATAACCACATGCAGTATACTAGAGCTAGCAATTAAATTGGTGAACACAACAAAAGTAAACTGGTAGGACTTCCATCCCAATCCTTCTAATAATTTTTAATGGTTTTGATGATTAAGCACAAACTACTTCTTTTAGAGAAATAATCACTTATATTATATATGTTCACTTATATTTCATGCTACTAAAAAGGTAAAACACGCAGATTTTTAAAAGGACTAGAGCTTACTGAATAACCATTTGTCTCAGATATACAAATAAAGATCAGAAAAGGACAAACTGATCTGGGTTTTCTAAATTATTCTTTGTGGGAGAATCCTAAAACATTTTATTCCAACCCATTTTAGTTAGATATCTCCCTAGACTCTTCCTAGAAGTCTGGCCTCAGAGTCAAAAATCTGCAGTTCTTTTTCCCAGCACTGACGGCGGATTTTCCCTTCACCTCCACCTCTCAACTGCAAAATGGTAGCAAGAATACTTCTCCTAGAGAGCTCAAAAATATGAATGAGTGGTGGCCTCTGTGGACAGATACATGATGACAGCAAGAAAAGTGCCTGCAAGATGCTAGGAAAATCATAAACACATGCCACCAAGTCACCAAGACCAGAGAGCAGAGTTTGTTGGCTCTCATATGAATGGCAAGAAGGGCCCCTACATAGACATCCACCGGGGGACAGTTGTCCAGCTGCAAGAGGAGGCTAAAACAGATGAACCACAGCAAAGCCTGTGAATTGTACACAAGAAAGGGGAGCAGCTGCAGCCACACTTCCTAAAAGGGCCGTGGTAGTAATACAGTTTATTAGAAATAGTAATACTAATAATAATAGGAGCATAATTTCCTGCCACTTTTAAAAGAAAAAATGCTCATTAAAAGATGTGCACAACAAGGCTGTGGAAACAGCCCAAGTGCCCATCAATCCAAGAATGGATTAATCAAATGTGGTATATGTATACCATGGAGTACTATTCAGCTCTAAGAAACAATGGTGATATAGCACATCTTATATTTTCCTGGTTAGAGCTGGAACCCATACTACTAAGTGAAGTATCCCAAGAATGGAAAAACAAGCACCACATATACTCACCAGCAAACTGGTATTAACTGAGCAGCACCTAAGTGGACACATAGGTACTACAGTAATAGGGTATTGGGCATGGGGGAGGGGGAGGGGCGGATATATACATACATAATGAGTGAGATGTGCACCATCTGGGGGATGGTCATGCTGGAAACTCAGACTTGTGGGGGGAGGGGGGGAAAGGGCATTTATTGAAACCTTAAAATCTGTACCCCCATAATATGCCAAAATAAAAAAATTAAATTAAATTAAAAAAAAGAAAATAAGATAAGCCACAGTTATGACACTGCAAAAAAAAAAAAGATGTGCACAAAACCAAACTGTCCAGGTCTCCTTGCAGCACAACAGAGCAGCACGTACATTAAAGCACATCATGGAATCCAGATGCAGCCTTTCACAATGACTGCCACGTTCCTTGTGGGATTTCCTTTATTGGATTTCACAGGATGTGGCCATTGTAAATGTCCCCTTATTACTTACGCACAAAAAAATGCTAATGAGACTCCCCACCCGGTGACTACAGCTTGCGCTGGTTTGGAGGATAGCAAATGGATAAAACTGTTTCCTGGACAAATGTGAACATGCACGGATGTATTGTTCAGATTATTGCCCTGAAATCGTTTTATAATATCACTGAATTATAGTCCCTTGAATCGTTTGGCTCCTTTTGTTAATTCAAATGATGCTGTATTTCACCTCGAGATTAGCACTCCCTGCAGTACAGAAGAAGAAAGGAAATGAGCCAGACAGGAGCAGATGATAAGCAGCTCACAAAAATGGTCATGATCTACTATTCAACGTATGCATATGATTGTCAAATAAAAAGCCTCTTAAAATATTTTTTATTTGTAGCGTCTAAAGAAACATGATAATAAAATGAAAAAGCAAGAGCAATTTTCGTAAATACTTCTCAGCATGTTTTTTTCTTTCAAGCCTCAGTAAAGTTAGTCCAAAAGGACATAAATAAAGCCATAGGGGCAGCTGTTCAGCAGGTGACTGCAGAGACGGAACTAAAAGGCTCTGCTGGAATGTTTTCAAGCCAAAAGCTCAGTTACAGAAAACTCTAATCATGATAATACCATTAACTGGTCTATGATCATCTCCTTTCCACTTCTATTTGTCGAATAACTGCCTTGTGTATCATTCCTATTTTAAGGGTCTAAGATACAGAAAAATGGGCAAATAGTACCTGGTATGATCATGAAGAATGGCCTGTAATCTACGATTGAGAGGACTTAAGAAAATTTTCCCCTAATTTTCCTCCTAGCTGGACTCAAAACAAACCTTGAGCCTCTTTTCATTGTCGGTTGGTTAATCATGCTCAGAGCATCTGAAGTGAGGAGGATTCATGGCCCTTCCTCATCACATGGGGAACCTTAAAGAAGAGGGAAAAGTCACCTTGCCCTGGGACCTGGGACCCACAGAAAGCATGTGTGCGTGCTCTCTCTCTCTCTCTCTCTCTCACACACACACACACACACACACACAGTCTATTCATATGATAATTTTCTGATCTCAACCTGAAGATTACAAGTGTTTCTTTAAACTCTTCTGCAACACAAGTTTAAGTGAAACCTTAACTTCTATTCAACTCATTGCACGCTGTAAATCAAGTTTCCTAACTCTATGGAGCTCAGCTCTAGAGGCAGATGAAGAGGATGACTTCTGAGGTATTGTGCAGTGTAATGAGCACATGATTGTAATAATATTAATATGCTTCCTTTTAAAACAAAAATGTATGTGGCATAATACACCTAACAGTAACATATGCAAATTTAAGTGTACAGCTTAATGATTTTTACATATGCATGTATATACATGTATATATATGCAGGTATATATGAACCCACTATCAATTTTCTGACAAAACATGGTGCAAATGAAAGCAACTATGACCTCTGAATCATTTATTAACTGCGTGACCTTAGAAAAGTTACTTAAACTCTCAGACTCAGTTTCTATATCTGTAAAAACTGGATAACTATGGTTTGTACTTTAAAATATTATTATAAGGATTAAGCAGAATAATTTATAAGAGACAAGTACACTGCCCAATAAATTACAATTTCTGCTATTATTACTATGTAAGTGCCAAGCAATTTGATAGTGTAAAAGTCAAACTGAGCCATTATTTGAGATGAAAGCTCTCCAATGTGCATACACCAGATGTGTCCTCGTTCTATTGATTCTCTAGCCTGAGAGAGGGAGATTTGCCTACAAGCACATTGTAGACCCCGGCAGGTGAGAGAGCAGCTTACCTTGTGGGCACGGGGACCTCAGTCAGGGCGCCCAGCATGACAGCCTGCTGTAGCCGAACAAAGGCAATGAAAGGAGTATCCAAAAAGTCAACCTCTCCAACAAGCACGTTGGAAGCTTCTGCATCACGTGGCAGTTTTTTCATGAACTTATTCTTCAGCTGCATGGGGAGAGCCAAGAAAACACAATTTATTTCCAGAGAGGGAAACAGAAAGACATCCTGTGTATCACTCACAAGAAATTCCTTTATATAAATCTACATGCAACATGTCCTAGCTAGCCACTTTTATACTGTATTTGACCATTCTATTATAAACAAACATGTATCTGCCCCTTGGATTCAAAAATATTGAGGATATCATCATATGGTTTACATATAAAACAATGTATAGTAAAACCCCATTCATTTATATATTCATTTACTCACTGAAAACTTATTGAGCATCTACTATGAGACCAGCAATGATCTAAGCCTTAGGGATACAGGGATGGATTGACTGATTACACGCCCTCCTTAGGATCATATTTCCACAGGGCAGAAATGTGATTTAAAGTAGTGGTAAGTACTAAAATAAAATAAAACAAAACAGATAAGAAGGTACTATTTTAGACAGGTGACCAGGGAAGGTCTCTGAAGAAATACAATTGACATCAGGGGAAAGGTACAAGCCAAGCAAAGATCTTGGCAAAGAACATTCTAGGCAAAGAAAATGGCAAATGCAAAGCCTTTGATACCAGGGGGAGCTAGACAGAGGAGTAGTGAAAAGTCATGTGTGGTGGAAGCTGAGGAAGAAAAGGAGAGAAAATAGCAGCAAATGAAGTCGCATTGGAAAGTGGGGACCAGGTGGGAGACCTGGAAGGCCACAATAAGGGGTTGGGACGTTTTAGGTGGGAGTTACCTACCAAAAGTCCAAGCAGAAAGGTAGAGCAGGAAAGGATACACTTGGGAGACCTCGCCAGGTAAACAATATGTGGGGCCACAGGTCAGACTGGCACAGTGCTGGGTGTGAGTGCAGGCAGGGAAGGGGGCAGGATCTAAACGCCAGGCCGCTCTACCTTTTACAGGAATAGGAGAAGACATGGGTGGAGAACACGGACAAAGAACAGTGGAAAAGAGGAAGAAAACCAGGACTTCACCAACACCTGCGTGAAGAGAGAGCTCAATGAAAGCGTGTCAGCTGAGCCACAGGCTGCTGAGAGCTCAAGATGGGAAGAATGAACCAAGGAATGGGGTAAAGGGGAGGAGAGGTCATTATTTTGAGAAATGGTGCCACCATGGAAGGCTGAGAAATGGAGAGGTTGGTGGAGGTGGGCATAAAATACGGGATTGTTTTTTTAAAAAAACTTTTATATAGAACTCTTGTATTTACAAACAGAATGCAGCTTGGTACCAAATCAAATAACTGGTTGAAAAAATACCATCAAATATATTATTTGGCATAATATAGATAAGTAAACATATATTAAGGCTTGCCAATGTTTTTAAAATTTAATCTAGTTAAACTAGGTGTGAGCCAAAATTTCAGTCTATTAGAGAAATATCATTTTAATTATTGGGGTAAGCCTTTTTTGTTTTTCACAGTCCTCACTCTTTAAACATAAGGAAGAAGGTGATCGGCAGCCCTTTCCTGAAAATGCCAAATATCGTTTCCTGCAAAGATTACCCTGTCACTGCAAACAAACTCCGACCTAGTGAGTATCACAGCTGGGGTGTGGCCACAAAAAGGAGAAGCACCCCTTCTAGTGGTGCGGCAAAACGCCCACCTTTAAGTTAATGACTTCCAACATTACCCAATATGTCCAATGCAAACTGATAGAAGTTTCCAATCCAGTGGATATCCTAACTTATGTATCCCAGAAGTTGAGTGCATTTCCTAAAAACTGCATTATTGGAAGTGGCTGTAATCTGGACACTGCCTGTTTCTGTTTCTTCACTGGGCAAAGGCTTGCTGTCCACTCTGAAAGCTGTCAGGGTGGGTCCTTGGAGAGCATGGGGACTCAACGTTCCTAGGTAGAGCAGAGTGGACATTGCTGGTGTCTCTCTGAAGGCTATGAACTCAGATATAGGAACCGACAAAGATCCTGAATAGTGGGGGAAAGTCCACAACGAAGTGATCTCCTGTGGTTATGAGACGGTTCAAACGAAAGGCTATACTAACTGGGCCACTGGCCTTTCTGTAGCTGATTTAATGGAAAGTATTTTGAAGAATCTTAGGAGAGTGCATCCAGTTTCTATCATAATGAAGGGCCTCTATGGAATAAATGAAGATGTATTCCTTGTGTCCTAGGAGATAATAATATTACATGTATTGTAAAGATAAAGCTGGCCCCTGAAGGGGAGGCCCGTTTGAAAAACAGCGCAGAAAAGCTTTAGGAAATTCAGAAGAAACTCAATCTGTAAGGTTACTTACAGCTACCATTCTGAAGGTTTTGTTGTGTTTTTTAGCAGCAATTATTTTATTTTGTAACTGTCATTTTATTTTAGCTTTATACTTCTTCACTGAGAAACATTTCAAACTAGCAACAAAATGGAGAAGAATATAATTACAAACTCCTGTGTACCAACCATTCAACTTCATCAGATCTTACCCTTATGCCATGTTTGTTTCGATCTTTATTTTTTGAAAAAAAAAATTCTACAATTGCAATTGAGGGGTGTACCCCACCTCCACTTCCGTCACTTTTTCCCAGAGTTAATTGGGGTCATGAAATCAGTGTTTAGTATTCTCACATATGTTTTGTTAAATACTTTGATTATAAATGTATGTAGGCATATACATTATATAGTATTGTTTCTCAAGTATTTAGGCTTTCTATAAATGGTATTATACTCAATGTATCATTCTTTATCTTGCTTTTTTTTTACTCATTATGCTTTTGAGATAAATCCACACTAATAAAAGTAACTCCAGTGCATTCATTTTAAGGGCTGCCTACTATTCCATCTTATGACTATATCACAATTCATATGTACATTCTAGTATTTTATAATTGTAAATATTTCTGCAGTGCTATAATATACACCTTATAATTACTACCTTATTACCTCAATATTTGAGCTTCTTTAATGTGTCCCTAGAAGCAGACATCCTGGGTCATAAGAAGTCCCTCCCGGTTTCTAGCTGATCCCTGCTGGGCATGGAGTGGGGAAGGCCCAGCGTGTCCTTCTGTTCTCTACATAGCTACCCTCAGTTTCCCTGTTCCCCTCCTTCAATATTCTCCGATACTCTCCTTTAGTTATTTTCATGAAAATGTAGTTGTTTGCTCTTCGTTTTGGCTGTCTATGTGGTGGGAATAAGCACTGGGGACTTCTACTTGGCCATCCTGCTGATGTCACACGTGTATGTTTTTTTAATGGGAGCTATTACAGCTCTTTGGAATGTGAATGAAAATGACCTAGCAGAGACAGATTTACGCTGCAGGAGAGATGGGGGATAAAGTCAAAAGTGGTTCAAGCAACTGTGAACTACTGAGGTGGAAGGCTTAGCTTTAGATAGGAACAGTTTATCAATCCTACTGGGAGAAGGCGGACTATCTAGGTACAAACGGGGGTGATTTTGGAGATTTGGCAGGGTGACAGCGAGGGCTTCTGAGGACATATTTTTGCAGTGAAATGTACAAGTAGGCTGATGATGAGGAGGAAGAGGAGGGTGGAGATGGGGAGGGTTGAGGAAAGAGAAGAAGGTACAAAGTGGTTTTCTTGAAGAGTGAAGGTTGCCTAATACAATCACTTTGAAAGCTTATCTTCTAGGTGTTATTCTTTCATACAACTTGAGGCAAATATTTCAATAATTGTGGAAGGGTAGAGATAAGAATTTTGGAAGACCATTCAAAAGACACAGACTTCTGATATATCTTTCTCATCCAATATAAATGTCCCTCCCATTAGATGGTTAGAAGTACCAGTACATCCAAGATAGATATCAAGAGTGCCAGTAAACTTAATATTTTCTGCCATGGATTATTACTGAGATAGGAAATGGCAGGCATGAGCCAGTTTCCCCCATTAATAAAAAAGTTACACCAACATTTTATTTTCAACTTCCATTTAAGAGTTTTTAATTAGGGAAAGTAAGTGGCATGAGAACTAATCCCTAAAGCTCCATCACCCTCAGTAGCATTTTTATAGAATTTTTCTCTTTAATTTGGTATACATGTAAGAAAAAAGCTGTGAGGCAAAAAGCAAGGAAGTTAGAGCTAAGAATTTAGTGGAAACAGGGGGAAAAAAAGCAAAGGCAAGGTATATATTCTTAGAAGCTAGGAACATGACCACTTCTAAGCAGTAAGGAATTATCCAATGTTTCCACCATTCAACCTCTAAGAAATGCAAATATTAAAAAAAATTCTTTTTATATTTCACAGATATGAAAAGAGTAGCCACGAGAAGGGCCTAAAAAAGTCAAGTTGCCAAAAGTGTTATTATCTAAAGAAGTTACAATAATGAATTTTTCTCTGTAACACAGAGTAAAGTGTGGGGTATGGCCAAGTGGCCCAAACACATACAAAATGATATTGCTAAAATAATCTTCCTCAAACCCATTCCAGAGACAGTTCCCATATCAACACAGAACACGAAGCTCTATAATAATCTGATTTTACTTCCTATTTTCCCCAGGAGACTCCATGTTCTAGTTAGGCAGGTGACCAGACCATAATCCCCTTCTGTTTTATATACTTAGACTCCTATATTCAGTATCAAAAATCGCCCTTTCCTCATTTCTACCTTTTCTAAACATCCTTCAGACCTCAGCACAAGAGTTTCTACCAGCTTGGCCCACTGCCACGGGAACTTCAAAAGTGCTCATTTGGGAATCACACTCTATTAAGGTATAATCTTTTCCTGAGATTCATGAGAATATGAGCAAAACTGAACAACTATTTTGCACATAATTCAGTTGTAATAAATATTATGAATGAATGGAAGGAATGGACCCTGTAGCACTAAAAATCAGTCCAAAAGACCATAAAATGCCCCCCAAATTTAGAGAAGTTATTGAAGTTCAATCTAGAACCTACTGACAATGTGGAACTTTCACAGCAACTACCTGATGTATAAAACTTGCAGAATATTCCACTGTTGATTATATACTTCCCTAAAGAGTTTTACTATTAAAAGTACTATGGTAACTTTACTGAGATTACTGTACCCACACTAGAAAA